TAGTGCTCAGCTTTTTGTGCATGTGTATAGGTTTGAGAATTCTTCAGTTTTATAATTTTCTGATACATATTAATGTCCTTTTGCTATGTACGTGTAGTTAAATTTCAGCTAATTTTGACAAGTGCTTTTAAGTTATGAGCATTTTAAAAATGAGCCAAGTTTTCAAAAAAAAATCCCAAGGCTATAGGCCATGGTTTTTTCTGAAAAATGCCTCCAAAATCACCTTCAATCTTTATTACATTTTCTAATACATATCGATGTCCTTATGCTATGTAGAAAGTTTGAGCTGATTCCGACAAATATTTTTCGAGTTATTAGCATTTTAAGAAACGGGCCAATTTTTGAAAAATGCCCAAGGCTATAGGCCATGGTTTTTTCTGAAAATGGCTCCAAAATCACCCCCAATTTTTATTACATTTTCTGATGCATATCGATGTCCTTATGCTATGTAGAAAGTTTGAGCTGATTCCGACAAATATTTTTCGAGTTATTAGCATTTTAAGAAACGGGCCAATTTTTGAAAAATGCCCAAGGCTATAGGCCATGGTTTTTTCTGAAAAATGGCTCCAAAATCACCCCAATTTTTATTACATTTTCTGATGCATATCGATGTCCTTATGCTATGTAGAAAGTTTGAGCTGATCCCAACTTAAAATTTTCGAGTTACAAGCATTTTAAGAAAATGCCAAAATTTTGAAAAATACCCAAGGCTATAGCCCATGGTTTTTTCCAAAAAATGGCTCCGAAATCACCCCAAATTTTTATTACATTTTCTAATACATATCGATGTCCTTATGCTATGTAGAAAGTTTGAGCTGATTCCGACAAATATTCTTCAAGTTATGATCATAATTGTGTACTAAATATCTCCTTTATTTATTTAATAGCGTTTCTCCTTGAGACAAAAGCGTAACAGATCCAAGAAAGACCAGCAAGACATTAACCAGCTTGAAGTGGCCAGCATAGCTGGTAGTGTTGCCAGCAGTGGGAGGCCATTGAAAAGGACAGGAACAATCGGAGGAGGTGGATCTTCACGTAAACAAAGGTAGTGTTGTTGTTGTTGTTGTTGTTACTATCATTGTTGCTGTTTTTTGGCAGTGACCTGATCAGTATATCTGAATACGATACAAGAACCGTAGACTATGATGTAAGTATGAAACATATTATTATAAATTTACAAATGTTCCACCATCTTCTCCCAGACTAAATCCATAGATGCTCAGAGTGAATATTACGGTGGCCCTCCTGTAATGGAAGATCTTCTATCAAGTATGTTTTATGTACATATACATTTATAGATGTAGATGTAGTACATATACATGTACATGTACATGCGTATACATGTACATGCGTCCTATGATTATTCTTTTACTGGTGCATTTTTCCCCTTTCAGTATATGAAGAGCTAGGCAATGGTATCAAGGTGACAGTTGAGCTGTTATTAAATGATACTCAAGCAGCTCACGATGATTCTGTGGAGACCATTACACTCGGTACCATATCAGTCCCTGAGGACTGCTCCTGGATTATGATGGACACTAAAATATGCGACATATTTCAAGTACAAATAAATAATAATAATTAAAATTATTCAATATTGCAATTATTCGATTTATGCTCTCTCTCTCTCTCTCTCTCTCTCTCTCTCTCTCTCTCTCTCTCTCTCTCTCTCTCTCTCTCTCTCTCTCTCTCTCTCTCTCTCTCTCTCTCTCTCTC